CTATACCTTGCCACGTGGCTGGTGGCTTACCAGAGTCTTTACATGCTGCTTGTCCTGGCGGTGGCTTCAGCGTCTCCCTCCTCAGCCTTCTGTTTCCCAGAATTCTCCTCTCTCCTTGTCCCACCTACTTCCTGCCTGGCAACCTACTTCCTGCCTGGTCACTGGCCATCAGTGTTTTATTTATATAGAGCAATATCCACAGCATCAAACAGAAACTACAGAGGCAAGCTTCTATTGTTGAAAACAACAGAATACAAGAGATGAAAGAGAGAATCTCGGGCATTGAAGATACAATAGAAAAAAATGAATATATCAGTCAAAGAAAATGTTAAATGTAAAAAATGCCTGACACAAAATACCCAGGAACTCTGGGGCATTATGAAAAGACCCAATCTAAGAATAATTGGAATAGATAAAGGAATAGAATCTCAGCTCAAAGGCCCAGAAAAATATTTGCAACATAGTAATAGAAGAAAAATTTCCTAACCTAAAGAAGGAGATGCCTATAAAGATACAAGAAACTTACAGAATATCAGATAGATTGGATCAGAAGAGAATGTCCCCTTGGCAATTAATAATCAAAACACTAAACTTACAGAACAAAGAAAGAATATTAAAAGCCACAAGGGAAAATAAAACAAGTAACATGAATGCAGACCTATAAGAATTACACCCTGACTTCTCAGTGGAAACTCTAAAAGCCACAAGGACCTGGGCAGATATGCTGCAGACTCTAAGAGACTATGAACATTATACTCAGCAAAACATTCAATCACCATAGATGGAGAAAATAAGACATATCAATATAAAGCCAAATTTAAGCAATGTTTATTTATAAATCCAGTCCTAAAGACAGTGTTAGGAGCAAAACTCCAACTAAAGAGGTTAACTACAATCAAACACACACACACACACACACACACACACACACACACACACACATACACACTGAATAAATAATCAAACAGTAGCAAAATCAAAAGAAGTGAAACACATAAATACTACCACCACCATCAACAACAACAACCAAAAAACAGGAATCAGCAATCACTGGTTGTAGTGGGTAGCCATTCCAGTGTTCCAATCCCCACTGAGGCTTTGGTAACTGTCACACCTACAAGGTGGAGCCAAGAGAGGACCCTGAATACCTGAGATCTGGAAGGGCTGGCTCTCTTGGTTCCTGGACCCTGGACACTGGAGGTAGATCAAGCAGAGTTCTCCAGATAACACTGCCAGACTGTGCTACACCTTTCCCAGACCTTGTAACCTATTCCTTCACTTGTAAGTTACCCCACAAAATAAACCACCCTTTTAACTACATGGAATGGCCTTAATATTTTCACCAATAATTGGTCCTTGTTATCTCTCAACATCAATGGTATCAATTCTAAAATAAAAAGACACAGACTAACAGAATGGATCTGTTCTTCTGCTGCATCCAAGAAACACACTTCAACATCAAGAATGGACATTATATCAGGGTAAGTGGTTGGAAAAAGATATTTCAAGCAAATGGACCCAAGAAATAAGCTGGTGTAGCCATTTTAATATCTAACAAAATAAACTTCAAACCAAAACTAATCCAAAGAGTTAGGGAAAGACAATACATACTTACCAAAGGAAAAATCCACCAGGATGATATTTTAATTCTTAACATCTATGCCCCCCCAAACAAGAGCACCCAAATCCATAAAACAAACACAACTACAGCTTAAATCACATTGAGTTCCTGACATACTCGTAGTGGGAGACTTCAATACCCCACTATCACCAATAGATAAGTCATTAGATAAGTCAATAGATAAGAAAAATGCTGAACCTAACAGACATTTTAAACCAAGCAAACCTAAAAGATATCTGAAGAACATTTCACCCAAACACACAAAGCAATATACCTTCTTCTTATCACCTCATGGAACTTTCTTCCAAATTGACCACATATTTGAACATAAAGCAAATCTTATGAGATACAAGAAAATTGAAATAAGATCCTGCATCCTCTCAGACTACCACAGATTAAAGCTGGATATCAGCAACAGAAGTTTACAAACTCATGGAAACTAAACCCTCCACTGAATGAAAAATGGATTAAGAGAGAAATTTTTAAAAAAATTAAAGACTTTGTAGAACTTAATGAAAATGAAAACACAAATACCCAAACTTATGAGGCACAATAAAGGCAGATAAGGGCAAGGTCATAGCACATAGGGCCTATATTAAAACCAAACAAACAAACAAAATGGAAAAGATTTTATACCAGCAACTTAGCAGCATCCCTGGAAGCTCTAGAAAAAAAGAAAAAAATCAAATCCCCCCAAAGTGTAGACAGCAACAAATAACCAAACTCAGAACTGAAGTCAATAACAAACAAACAAAAAAAGCAATACAAAGAATCAATGAGAAAAACAGGTGGTTTTTGAGAAAACCTGTAAGACTGGCAAATCTTTATCCAAATTAACTAAAAGGAAGAGAATGAATATCCAAATTAACCACCATATAAACAAACTCAAAGAAAAAAACCACATGATCATCTCACTAGATGCAGAAAAGGCATTTGACAAAATCCAACACACCTTCATGATAAAAGTCTTGGAGCGATCAGGAATACAGGGGACATACCTAAACATAATGAAGGCAATTTACAGCAAGCCAACAGCCAACATCAAATTAAATGGAGA